ATTTGAAATCTTTTTTGTTTTGTATAGCATATGCTACTATGTGCATTACCTAAAAACATTATTCTATAAAATTTAAGGCAAAAATACAGTTAAAGGACTTTTCTAAACTTTTTTTTTATTATGTTTGTAGTTTTATAGTTCTGGCAATATCTGAAGGAAGCAGGTGGATGTAGTTCTATAGTTCTTGATAACAATTCATTGTGTTTGTTTTTCTGGTAACAACCATGCTTAATATTTTGCTTTCAGATTACATAGCCTCTATTTGGAATTTTGCTATGATGTAGTCATATAAGACCCTGAAAACAATGAAGGTTTCTACCAGTGCACAAAATAATAGTGTATGAGTCATGAAGATTCTTAGAGCCCTAATTTTTCACACTCATATATTGATCCTAAAGATGTTTTTAGCATTTTGTAGGTTTTAGACAAATAGTTCTAATCAGGCTGACTACTAGAAGTGAACTTGAATAATATTAAGCAATAGAATGATCTTGGGAAAATATTTTATATATTATTATAGCAAATGATGATGCATCTGAAGGACAGACATTAGCATATATAAGATGGAAGGATCTATGTCTGTGTCTGTGTGTGTGTTGTGTGCATACCTTAAGAAATTAGTACCTATTAAGCAGACAGTGACTGAATGTGTCATAATTCTGAATATGTGGGGTAAGAAACCTGGAAAGAAATATTGTATGTAGTTAAAGATGCTGGACTGACATCAAGGACCTAGATTTGAATTTGCTCTCACTGACAGAAATTCACTTGGTGAATTTGGTCCAGTCCTTCTGTCTTTGTCTAATGAAGCAGTAAATGCTCCAATACTGGAAGTTTTTAAGAAGAGACTGGACAGGCATTTGTCCGAAATGGTGGCCACGCCCTCCGCACTCCACGCATCATCTGTGTGCAACAGGGTGTGAGGGTGGAGTCTTGTCCCTGCTGCCTGGCTGCCATGTGCTTGGCTGTGCTGTTCCACGTGGTCGGCACCCGGGGGCGACTCTCCTCCAGGGGGGATGCTACTGAGGAGGGGGCTGCGGGGGGAGGTGGGGCTGGGGTGATAGTATGCGTGCCCACAGAAAGGGCTCTGAGTGCCGCCTCTGGCACACGTGCCATAGGTTCGCCACCACTGGTATAGGGTTACCTGTCTGAGCAGGGGGTTGGACTTGTTGACCTCCAAGGTCCCTTCCAACTTTATTATTATTATTATTATTATTATTATTATTATTATTATTATTATTATTATTATTATTATCATTATTATCATTATCATTATTATCCATCTTCACAGGGATGTAGTTAGACAGATGCTTGAAAGTTTGTGAACCCTTTTAAATGTTCAACATTTCGCTATAATATTACCTAAAATGAGATCTGTTCTCCATACATATTTAAAAATAGATAAAAAAACCCAATTAAATAAGTCAAAAACGTACGTGTTCATTTATTTATAGAGGAAAATGATCCAGAGTTACATATTTGTGTGTGGCAAAAGTATGTCAACCTTTACTTTTGCTAACTGGTATGCCCACATTGGGCAGCAATAATTGCAGCCAAACATTTCCCGTTACTGTTGATCAGTCCTGCACATTAGCTTGGAAGAATTTTAGTCCATTCCACCTTATAGAACACCTTCAACTCAGGGACATTGGTGGGCTTCCTCTCATGAATTGCCCATTTCAGGTCCTTTCACAACATTTCCATAGGATTAAGTTTGGGACTTTGACTTGGCAATTTAAAAACATTAACTTTCTCCTGGTTCACCCATTCACTGGTGGTATGACTTTTGGGCTTTGGGTCATGGTCTTGCTGCATGACCTACTTTCTCTTGAGTTTCAGTTCACAGACAGGTATCCTGACATTTTCTTGTAGAATTTGCAAGCACAATTCAGAATTCAGACTTACATCAATGATGGTAAGCTGTCCTGGTCCAGGCCGAAACCATGATACTGCCACTGCTAAGTTTTATAGAAGGCATAAGGCTCTTATGCTGGAATGTAGCATTTGTCTTTCACCAAACATAATGCTTTTCATTTAGGTCAAAAAGTACTATTTTTTATCTCATCTGTCCACAGAACATTTTCAGTAGCCTTCTGCTTTCCATGTAATCACTCTCATGTGGCATCAGTATTGTGTTTGGAAACTAGTGGTTTTCTCCTTGTGACTCTGCCATGTACAGCATTTTGTTTAGTACAGACATGTCAAACACAAGGCCCAGGGGCCGGATGCGGCCCGCGAAGTGGTTTCATGTGGCCCGTGAAGCCATCCTGGAAACAGTGAGGGAATGGCCCCTGCTGCCTTGGCCCTGGCCCAGGCCAGCCAGGAGACAATGTACAATTTTGTGGTGGCCATCTTGGCACTTGCCCCAGTGGACCATGCCTTGGCACTTGCCCCGGTCCCACCCTCTTCTGCCAGAGACCCTCAGATCTGTCCCATTCCTGCCCAGGCCCCCCATAGGCACCCTTGACGTGAATGATGTAGAACTGGCCATGCCCACCCAGTAGGCCACACCCACTCCATCCACGCCCACCCATTAGGCTGCACCCACTCTGGCCACACCCAACCGCAATGCTGATGCAGCCCTCAGTGAAATTGAGTTTGACACCTCTGGTTTAGTACTAGCCTGATGAACATGAACACTGACATTTCTCTGTGAAACTTTTATTATAAGATTTTAGAATTAACTACCGTATATAAAATAAGTAGCTTTTCATGGGAACCAGAATTATTTTGTGCACTGTAAGTCATGACAAAGTTTAGAGATCTTATGATTTAAATTGGATACTAGAGAGGAACTAAAGTGCAGGCAAAATGCCTTTGGTTTTGATTAGAGTTAGGATTTTTAAAATCACACAAAACACTAGTAACATTTGAAATACTAAAGACGATCTATCATGTAAACCAGCCAGTAGACCCGACTAGATGAGCTAATTCTATTTTATTATAAGGTTACATTAACAGAATCTTGCATGGCTGAAGATACAAATCTCCTGCTGCCACTTTTAACTGCTGGATCAATTAGGGCGAACATTCTTTGGTCTTTGAGGAATTGAGCAAGATTGTTATAGCTACAATAACAGAATCAATAACTGTCTTTGTGAATGCATCATTTAAGAGCGATCTAAAATAAGAGATCAAAGAAAAGATGAAAAGTAACTGAAGGATCTGCAGAACAACTAAGTAGAGAAGTGAGACCAAGTCAAGATGGAAATTTGAAAAATAGAAATAATAAATCCAGAAGATGTACAGCTATTAAGTCAAGAGATGAAAAAGATTTAAATAATTGAGAAAGAGTCTTGTTTGACACCCAGAGTACTTACAGAACAACTTTGGAGAAAATTGTAAGTAGAGAGCTATTGAAGCCTTAAGAATTTTTTTTTTTAAGATGGGAGAAAGAAAATATGGATAGTGATCAGGTTCTACAGCAGCATTTTAATGTCAAATTAACAATTAATAATCACAGTTTACTACAAAGGAATACAAAATTGGCTTGTTTGATTAGAGATAAGGCAATAAGCACATTTACAAAATACTAAAAACACTTTATGGACTTTTTGCTGAAAATGGATGGGACATAGCTGATTTTTGGATCTACCACTCAAAAAGCATTGGATCTGGGAAGAAATGTAATGTAATCTCCAAGGGTGGAGGGGTGATGTTATATCTCTTTCTGTGAAGAAGATTTGGAGTCACTTAAATATACTTTCCTTTACATGTTCCTTTTCTATTTTTCTGCACTTTCTCTTTTTCTTCTCTATCTTATTTTGTATTATTCTTTTATTATTTTTAAAATATTTAATAAAATTTATTTTAAAAACACAAAATAGTTTTGGAATCTTTCCCAGCCTGCTGAGCATCCATCAATAGTTTTTCAGAGATTTTCTAAGACACCTCCTTTATTTGAGTCACGACTTGCATTGTGAAGTTTAGACAGTGATAGTGAATACCTAAAACTCTATTCTTAACCAAGTCAGGATCTCCCATACTCACCTTAATTTCCCTTTCAAATGAACTGAAAACCTTAGAGGTTCATGTACTTCTGTGACATGCAGCTTTGGATCATTTTCCTCAATAAATAAATGAACAAGTATAATGTTTTAACTTATTCATTTAAGTAGATTCTCTTTAACTGGTTTTAGGTCATATTTATGCAGAAATAGCGAACATTCAAAGGGGTTCACAAATTTTTAACCACCACTGTATATTTGGAAATAGTGCTAAGTTTTAAATTAATTAATTAAAACATCTGTATGGCCGCCAAAGTTAAACAACTCTGAGTGGCTCACAACAATAAAATAATTATAAAACCATAAACTATAAAATCAAAAACAACAAACCCAGCATCTCAACCATCCCTTTGGGATTCCCAACAATCAGCTTTAGATATCCCTATTCTGTTTCAGCACCAGAGTGAAAAAAAAATCATTGGGATGAGGGTGTTCCATAAGGTAAGGGAAGCTATGGAAAAGGCACCCTTTCAAGGTCCCACTAGATGGCAAGATTTCATGGAAGTCACCTCAAGTGTACCTATCTGGTAGGATGGGTAGCTAGCTACTCATCCCATCCTACTAGAAAGGCAATTCTGCCTGTATATTACTTTTCGCTCGTGAATGAAAGATGGAATGTCTAATATTTACTTATCTAATAAGTAAATAACTACTTAGGTATGAGCTGAGAGGTGAAGGTAAGAGAATATATGAAATACAAATATACTGTTGAAGACATAAATGAGAGGAACATGGAATGAGAACATTGCATATCATATTTTCAAGTGTGTGTTTGTGTTTTTTTCATAGTGTTACAAGGTTGTTTTGATAGTATGAAAATTACAAATCAATTATGTGGTAAATACTATATACAATAAAAGAGCAAATACACACATAGGCATACAACCTGAGAATTTGCTGGAAGATTTTATGAGTTATTTCATGTTTTTTTTGACATTGGGGTTTTCCCTGCAAGGCAAGGTATTATTAATTGGAAATTACTACATTTTCAGTGTTCACTAAGCGTAGGACCAGAGTTAGAAGCGATTTCCTGACTCATGTAGTTTAATCTTCTTTTGAAACTTTTGAAACAGAATTATAGTCCTAATATCATCTCTGATAATTGCCTATCTACCCTTTCTCAGAGGTTTTGTAAAAGGATCAACAACGTATGATGTGTGTAATGTGTTAAGTAAGCTGTATTTTGCAACCTTATTTTTATGTTGTATTTTCTTTTCAACTCTGGGCTTTGTTGTAGCAACCAGAATAGCCTCTTGCATGACATTATGACAGCATGTTGTATAGCATGAGAACTAGCCTGAAAATAACTATAGGCCCATCTGCAATGTTATTTAGAATTAAATAAAAGAATGAGTAATTTGTTGGATTAAAAGTTTGCTTTTTTTTAAAATAAAAGAAGTAAGAATATGAGTTGCTTGAATAATTTACACAATTAATAGATATTATTTATATTTACAGACTTCTAGAGAAAGCACTTGTATCTTGTAATGTCAGTGTCTTCTCTGATAAATGGAGATTTATTGCTGTTGTCATAAATGGATCATTTCATATATTTTTTCAGTCTTTTTCAAAGATTTACATTTTTAAGATTCATTAACTTAGTAGAAGTCATTTAGGTGTCTGTTTAATTCACTGTTTGAAATCAGTTATTTCTGCATATGCTAACTCTGTGGCTATCTAATAATGGTTTCAAAAATTAAACCATACAGTAATTGCAACAAAACACAGAACTCTCTTTAAATTCCTGTGTGAAAGGCTAGGCATGATAATTTTTCTCTGTTTTGGAAATATATAAATGCATTTACTTTTCGTCTTTTAAATTTTCATATTACAGAATATTGAAGGAAAGCTTATGTTGAAATTATTTTTATATATATCTGCATATCTCTTACACATATTTTGAATTATCTCATGTTTTCTTTTGTTAGTTCTTTGTATATATATGTGTTTGTCTCCGTTCTTTCCGGCTGAGATTTCCAAAGGAAATGTGAATGTAGACTTTCTTTTTATAGCACGAATGAACATGAAAAGGAAGAAGTTATCAACTTTGCTCAAATTTAGTTCAAAACTTTCATGATTTGTTTGTAATGAAACAAATTAGAGGCAGTACTCCAGCTTTAAATGAAGTGAATCTGATATGTTTTTATTTCAACATATGTGGTTTAATAGGCTTCACAAATATAACTGTTTGTAGCAAACAATAATAAATAACTGTCATAGTAGTACAATTTATTTTTCTCTAGGTAGCCATTTTAATGTATTTAAAACTGTGCAAACACAGTGAACAGTTTTTGTAGATATGTAGCGTTACCTAGGGTTTTTTTCTTATTCTTTTTAAACAACACTGTTTCCCGGAAGGAAACTGTGGCCTCTCAGCTCATTGTAGTGAGTAATTGAAGAAGTGTTGCTTTAGTTTCAGGAACTTGTGTAGATTTCTTATGACACAGTCACAGTATTAACTCATGCTGAGCCTGTCTTCATGAATTTTTTAAAATTACATAGACTTTCAGTGATATGGAAGAACTGGATGTTTAATCAGGATCCTGAACATGTGTTCCAGGTAGATAATTCAAAAGAGAACGAAGACAATATCTTGCAAAGAGAAGTGCCTCTTCGACAATCTCGCCGGAGGTTTCGGAAGATTAATCAGAGGGGAGAACGTCAGACCATTACAGATAATGTGGATGTTAGTAGCTACCTTTCAGTGAGTGCATTTCTTATACCCTTAATTATTTACCCACCTGTATTCATCGCTCTCTGTGTTTGATTTCCTCTTGGTACAAATGAAGAGATACATAAAATTGCAAAATGGATTTTATAATATTGGAATCATAGAATGTTATTAAACATTTCAAAGCAGCTGTAGGTTTCTCAGATTCATTCTAATGCTCTATAAACTCTAAAGATCAACATTGCGGCAGTTTAGTACTTTTGGACAATGAGACTTTTACACTGAAATGTGTTGGGATATATTTTGTGGAAGTTTAGCTACCATGAAGAAAGTTCACGCTTAGCACGGTAAGTCATTTGTTTGTCAAATGAGCTATAATTTCAATTTAATAGTGTACTTTTTTCATCCTAGTTTGTAATGTTTTTCAGCAGTGTACAAAAACATTAACTTCTGACAAATTGTAATGAACTTCCAGGATTGTTTACCTTCCATCAACCTAACTAAGAGACCCAAAAGCTAGTTTTAAAATTGCTTAGACTGATCAGGAATGAAATTAGGCAAATCTTTATAAATGTAATTAACAAAATGTTAAAACTGATTAAAAAAACAGGAATTCCCCATATACTACGGCAGACGAAAGATTGAAACTGCCTTCTCTTCCAAGCCATCTCTCCCCTCCTTTCTTGAGTTGTTCTAGAGATTGATTTATAGAATAAGCAAGCACTTGCTTTTAGTCTTTGTTGCAGATGTTAGATGTTTGCTGATTGTTCATGTTTCAAGAAAGTTTCATAAGGGGGAGGTACTTTTTAATGTGCATTTTTTTCTCATAATGCATAGAATATTTCTTCATGAATGTACCTTGTTTTAATGATCATTGATCATTAAAGTCATATTGAAGGTAATGCAAATGTATTCATTTATTTGTATATTATATTTCAGTCTTTCAGCAGTAGCTGCTAATTCCTTTTTTACTTGTATATGATTACATTTATATTCTCCATTTCTTCTAATTTAGGCCCTCCACCATTTGGGGCTGTTAGGCACTTGTTGCATTTGGAAAATGTGTTCTGGATGCTCTGCTGAAACAGCTTGCTTGTTTACAAAAAAGATATTTTCAAACAAAGCACTGAGTTGAAGCTGTCAATCTTTTTCATTTTCTAAAGAGAAGTCATAGTGCTACTTTAAAGTCTAGAGGAATTTTTGGAAATAGGGTGTTGCTGGTTATTAGTTCTTTGCTTTGCAGTATTCCAGCTTCTGAAAGGGGGAAGATTTCAAAGTACACACAAATTAAGAAACATGTGGATTGTTCAATCACTGCAAGAGAATTCCAGAACTTTAGAGCTCATTCCAGAAACATCCTACCTTTGTTAGATACCATTAATATTCTAAAAAGGAGCACCTCCATACAGGCAAAAACAATTTTGAAAATTATCTTGGTCCATTTAAAACTGCTTTCTGGTTTCAAGTCCTCAGATTTCAAATTTGTTCAAGGATTAAAGGAATAGAAAGGATATAAATATGTTTTTCTCAGGCTTCCCAGAGTTCTTGCACATAGGGTTGGAATATAAATATTGTTAAGTAAATAAATAAAAACTAATTTCTTCCAGATCTGGGATTCACCAAATTTCCAGTGAGTTGCAGTACTATACTTTATTAAACTTGCTAGGTTAGGAAAAGCTTTTTTGACTATATAGCTGAGATTAGTTTAAGGTCACATTAGATGAAATATTCAATCATCTGTTATTCAGATATTTTTATAATTTAGATTATAATAAAGGAAGTTATGAGTGCTGTGTGGTATTTGCTTTCATTGAGATGATGCATTGGTAGGAAGGTATACATATGTACTTTTATGTACTAAATAATATCTTTATGTACCAATTAATATATTAAATCGGATATGTATAATGAATAACACACTAGATAATTTCAGATAAATTACTACATTAGGATTACATCCATCCATCCATCCATCCATCCATCCATCCATCCATCCATCCATCCAAGCTATGATTGTTAGTTTCTTAATGATCATTTTTATATTCTGGCAAAACATTTTAAAAACAGTAAAAGATGAGAAGTTTAAAAATGTTTTAATATGTTAAGATATTAAGATGCTAAGATTTTTTTCCTTGAATGCATTTTATATTTTAAATGTGCTTTCTCAATAGCTCTGTATATGCAAAAATAGCGTTTTGCTGTTGGTTCTTCTTTTGCTCCTGTTTGTATTACTACATATAAATCAGATTTATGTTACGTTTCCTTTATTGGTTAACTTACTAAAAGACATTTAATTTTAATAGCATTGCAGGCTTTAAGAAAAGGATTGTGAAAGTAAACAGAAATTATTCCTAGAAGAAAAGCTACAAGTGGCGACAATATTTTGTTTACAAAAAGAGAGAATGAGGGAGGGAAGATGGAGGAAAGAAAGAGAGAAAAGAGAGAAAGAAAGTAAGAAAGCGAACAAGAAGCAAATTTAGGGTGTGATAAAGATGTATAAAATTATGAACAATGAGGAGAAGTGGCTCAGTGCATAATCGTTGTTTGTGTTACCGGCAGTTTTAAGACATGTTATATAATCATTTTCAAATAAGGTGATTTCTTATAATATAGAATAAAACTGTTGAACTTATGCTCTTATGATAACTTAGTAATTGCTCTTTCATGGGTAATTTATTTCAGTTTTCTTCATTTCAGTTGACCTATTCTTAGCTTTATTGTTCAAAAATACCAGGTTTTTTTAAACTCACCATGTATTTTTGAGAAAAAAAAATGAGAAAAGAAAAATGTTCTTTTTATTTTCCTTCCAAAATCTTTTTGCATCATCTCATGTTCTTGTTCACCTGAGGTCTCAACATGTAATTAAAAGGACTTTAGTTGTATACCAGTTGTATACCAGTTCAGGCTTTTATTTGTGATTTGTGATAATGTTGCATTACTAAAATACATTTTATTTTAATAGCATTGCAGGCTTGTAAGAAAAGGATTGTGAAAGTAAATAGAAACCACTTCCAATGATCTTGATTCTATCACTTTGTTAATGCTAGGCTGCATTAACAGAGGGATAGAATCAAGATCACATGAAGTGTTAATCCCACTTTAAAACGCCTTGATAAGGCCACACTTGGAATACTGCATCCAGTTTTGGTCACCACGATGTAAAAAAGATGTTGAGACTCTAGGAAGAGTACAGAGGAGAGCAACAAAGATGATTAGGGGACTGGAGGCTAAAACATATAAATAGTTGCAGGAATTGGGTATGTCTAGTTTAATGAAGAGAAGGACTAGGGGTGACATGATAGCAGTCTTCTAATATCTCAGGGGTTGCCACAAAGAAGAGGGAGTCAAGCTATTCTCCAAAGCACCTGAAGGTAGGACAAGAAGCAACAGATGGAAACTAATCAAAGAGAGAAGCAACCTAGAACTAAGGAGAAATTTCCTGATAGTTAGAACAATTAATCAGTGGAACAACCTGCCTCCCGAAGTTATGAATGCTCCAACACTGAACAACCATTTGTCTGAAGTGGTATAGCAGGGGGATTAGACTAGAAGACCTCCAAGGTCCTTTCCAACTCTATCATCATCATCATCATCATCATCATCATCATCATCATCATCATCATCATCGCATTAAAATGACCTTCAAATTTGTTTACAAAAGAAAGACATAACTGTTATGAAGTAATTTCCCACACAGCATAAAAATGGTTATTTACTTAAGTATGCCATCTCAAAAAATTTCAATTGTTACTTAAGTGTTCATAAGGAAAAAAAGTGTTTGTTTGAATTATATTGTATATAACAAAACATTGCATGGAATGCTGCAAAATTATATGGTTGAATATCTTCTATTGATTGAGAGGAGTGGGTAGAGCCCTTCAATTTTTTTTTACATGCTTGCAGACTGATTTAGCATTATATATAGAGAGCTGATAGTCCTGTCTGTCATTGTGGTGTTAACTGATGTCATCTGTTTACAGGAAGCTGCTTTTCTAGCTGAATGCCAGATTACTGATTCAAAAGCAACATAACAGATATAAAAAGGCACGAAGAAAAAAAAACCACTTTAAGAATAGGCAGGCTCATCTCATTGACAAGTTAATAAGTAATTCTCTCTCCTTTTAGTAGTTTATTTCTGAAAGAAATATTGATCATTAAATCATTTTTAAAAAGTTGGCTAGTTGTTACTAGAACAGAAAATACAAGCCTGGCTCACATTTAAATTAATCATTAAAGAGCAATGGCATGCTCCATTTTTACTGTTGGAGATACCATGATTTCATCAATTTTAATATGTGACTAATGTTACATTTATTTTAGTTCATCACTCATTAAGAAGCTTTCTAATTCTTAATGCATATTTACATTCCTTGAGAGAGCAAATTCAATCACATTGATTCAAATATATTGAAAAAAATGAAATATCTTTATTGCTGTGTATTCCAGATTGTTAGTCAAACTATTATATATGGAGGCCTTGGACTGTCTGAGCTTGGCTGTTTGCTTGCAGAAGTTTCATTACCCAACTGAAGTAACATCATATTACCTGGTTATGTAATGAAATGTCTGCAAACAACCAAACACACACAGAGAGCACCAAGGACTCTACAGTGGAACCCTGAACTGTATTCTCTTCTGTTTAAACATGTTTGTTATCTTCACAAATTATTTGAAGTATTCAGTTCATAACATGCAAAAAGTAGTCCCATTCTCAATGTGGGGCCTGAGGCAGCATCAATAATACAGTGAGGGAGAAAATTATTTGATCCCCTGCTGATTTTGTACGTTTGCCCACTGACAAAGAAATGATCAGTCTATAATTTTAATGATAGGTTTATTTTAACAGTGAGAGACAAAATAACAAAAAAATCCAGAAAAACGCATTTCAGAAAAGTTATAAAATGATTTGCATTTTAATTAGTGAAATAAGTATTTGATCTCCTATCAGTCAGAAAGATTTCTGGCTTCTAGGTGTCTTTTATACGGTAATGAGCTGAAATTAGGAGCACTCTCTTAAAGGGAGTGCTCCTAATCTCAGTTTGTTACCTGTATAAAAGACACTTGTCCACAGAAGCAATCAATGAAATTCCAAACTCTCCACCATGGCCAAGACCAAAG